TGTGTGTGTGTGTGTTTGTCTGTTTGGGCTTGCCCGTCAACTCACCCTGGCTTGGGCCGGCTGGCCGCTCCACATCCCCCCTGACACTCTCATTGTCTATGCCTCAGAGCAAAGCCAAAGAGTTTGTGCAAGATGGGGACTCGAGGCTTTGCACCTCTTTGTAGTTGGCGATAACGATGAGATGCTGAATGCCATCCTGATCGGAGAGGGGGAGCCCCCGAGCCCGAGCATCCCCGAGCCGAGCCAGAAGTCCCCAGGTTCCTCGTGCAACTCGACCACTTCGCTCTGCAGTTCCAGCGCCATCTTCCGGACACCAAGCAGGCAAAGAATTCCTCTGCAGCTCATCCCAAGACCTGATTTTCATTTCTGTCTTTTACGTTCTGTGAATGACTCCGGGAAACTCTGGCAGACTCGGTGAATCCTATTGCATGCTATGCCAAGCCAAGCGCATAGGCTGGCATTGAGAACTGCCTCAGCGCAGCCATCAAAGCAGCAGCATTTGAGATCTAATGTATCTGAATATCCACAGGATTAGCAAAGGTAACCCTAGTTCTGCGAAGGCGACTCCCATAGATTGAAACGCCTGCCCGCTCAGCTTCACACGCAAATGGACAGCCTGAGATGGCGATGCAGCCAGCATGGTCCTACCTAATTAGTTGCCGTTTGTCCCAGAGTCCGAGCGCGCCTGAGCACGAGTGATATGGTGAAAGGCATCGAGGGCCCACTGCGGGCTCGAGTGCTGGGCAGCTGTTGGGTTTGAGCTTTGCCTCGTTGTTTGGAGGACCCGGCCTTCCCGCTGTCAGCTCGGTGCAGTGCAGCTCAAGTCCCGGCCAAAGTTCAGTGACACGATGTGACACGGCACCGTGCTACATACGCTGTATTGCTTGAGCACATGGCATCAGCTGCTGGCAGCCCTGCATATAAACTCATCCAAGTGACAACAGTCTCGTTGATAGCACGAAGCCAAGTGCTGCTAGAAAAGTCACCTAAGCGAATCTCTGTCCATGTCGGTCGATAATCCGCTTCGTGGAATCTATCCTTATGCCGCATGCCGGTAGCTCGCGCTCTCTCCTCGCACTCAGGCATAGGCCAGCAGGAACAAAAGCAATGGAAACAGCCTCGCCTGGTATTCATCGATGCATGGTGGCATGGGGCGTTTCAAGAGCTTTCTTGAGATTTCTTGACGAAATTGCAAGGCCCAGGCAAATGTAGCTGCACGGCGACGCTCGTGGATGTTGGCTCTGTGAAACGAATAGAGACTCTCTGCCTGAGCGAAGTTGCAGCCGGGCATCATGACAGCTCTGATATCTAGCCTGAGCGCCCGACATTGTTGAAAGCAAGACATCCTCTTTCAATGTCTGCAGACATAACTCGTCGCGGGTGGGGCAATGCTGATTAGCTGCAGGATCTCGGGTAGCCTTCTGAATACAATTAAATCTAATCATGTCTGGATTAAGGGCTGGCGACATATGGCTGCTGTCGACTTGACTGATGCTTGAACTCTTGGCTTGTAAGGGCTGCGCAACATGTGCACATCGACATGACAACAGCGACCAGCACAGGATCCGCGGTTCCACAAAATCAGCAGCAGCCGCAGGCTGCTAGCTGCAATGACAATCCCTGAGCCAGCCCTTGTCATGCATCCGATTCTACGTGGACTTCCCATGCAAGTCTGTTCAGCAAGCTCCACTGCGGCGCTTTTCAACTGTGCAAATGAAGTTCAGCAACTCGCGTGCAGGAAGTATTACTCGCCCTCAGGGAGTTTGCCAATCAAAGCAGCAAGATGGTGGAAACACACAAAGCGGAGTGTGACGTGCCTTCGTTGTACGGATCCACTCTAGCTGCCAAGCCGAGTTCTAGGAGCAGCTGCAGAACCGCCGGCCGCAGCACTGACTCACCTTGCACATCCTTGCACTGCATTGCACTGCTTTCTACCATCACGCTCCTCCAAGCCTTACTTGTAGGACACTTGCCAGGCATCGCGACTGCATCAAAGGATTCTATCGCCACCCCGCCATTCCTGCCCACTAGTAGGTCCTCGAGCGTTGCATACAGCAGGTTCTAATCTTCTGGTTCCTTCGCTTTGACGCTTTTGCAGATTCTTTGCAGCTTCCCGTTCTCAGTTTATCATCTATACTGGTGTTAATCGCTGCGCACTGTGCAGAAATGCCGTAGGATGCGGTGAGCTCAAGAATCCTTGCCGGCCTTCGGAGTGGCTGCCGCGCCCCGTCACCAGGACAAGGCCTCCCCGGCCAGGATACGGTCGCGCTCTCTATGTGGTGACACCTGAAAGAGCAGGATCATGCTGCTTTTCGCAAGGGCCGCGCCCCAGGACGGCAGCATCCCAGGCTTCACCATCGTGGCGTCCAACAGAGCACAGCAGACTGCCAGGCGTGCCTCTGGCAGATCTGCACTGGAAGGCGACTGTGATCCTGACATATCCTGACAGCCAGCCAGCAGGGTCACCAGCCTCCTCTGGCTGCAGACCATGCAGGTCCAGGTATCCCCAACGGCGGCCCGGCTCGAGCCATCCTGCTCCAGCCTTGCGGCCGCCAAGTCGAAGTCCACGAAGCGGGCGCTCCCGATACCAAGCCTGCAAGAACAGTGTGAACCGCGTGACGCAGGTGCCTTTAAAGGAAAGCAAGTTACAGATGTACGCAACCAAGACGCCAGTGCTGTTGCCAAATCGCCCATGTGCACGTGGCTGGTCATGCCGGCGGCTTGAAAGACATCGTCCAACACCGTGCCAGAAGCCTCCCACAATGCAGAAACGAGCCGTGCTGCTGCAATGCTATGTTTCCTCCTCGCCAAACAGGTCGTCTCTGCTTGCGCTGCCGAAGCTACACGTGCGTCGCTTGCCGCTCCGTGCCCGACATGCCTCCATCATCCCAAGCACTTGGAGCACCTGGTGCCATTTTGTCGACTTCTGGCAGGCCGACACTACCACAGAAAGCGTGAGCCTCGGATGGAGCTGACAAGCTGACAGTGACTTGCTCTGAGGATGCAACGAATCTTCCGAAGTCTGAGGAGAAAGCTGACTCAGTGGTGTTCCTGCAAGTCATGGCACCGTCGGAAGCGACCTACACTGGCCTATACTAAACAGGTTTACGCTGAAGACCCCAGGTCCGGCAAGGGAGGCGTCTTCCAGGATTTGCAAACAGCTCTGCCAGGATGAGTTGTTCTCAAATACTCGGCACAGTGTGTTGAAGGTGCCGTCAAGCGCATTCAACTTCCTTGGCATGATTAATGCATTGCCAGTGTCGGTTGAAGATGCGGTGTCCATGTCTTCTGATCTTCTCATGCAAAGGCAGGACCCGACAGCACATGGGATCCAGTTGGAAATCGCTTTGTGCCGACACCTGCTGTCTGCCTCGAATTTCCGCTTGAAGGTGCCCTCCGCGCGTTGTTGCTGGCTGAGGCGGTCCGGAATGCTGTGCCGTCTCCCGACAATCCTTTTCGGCAGCACACTAACCTCGCGGGAACGGTACCTTGTCCTCCAGCCCCTTTGCAGCATGTCACAAATAACTACGGTGACTGTTTTTAAATATGCGGACAAGTAAATAGACAAAACAAATATTTTGTACTACCTCTGTGAGGGTCGAGCGTGGCTGCCCGTTCTTTACATATACGGAAACGTTACCGCCTTAACCCGTCGAAGAAGTCGTCCACACACACACACACACATCCTGGACGCCTTCTTCCACGACCACGACAACGACATCACGCAGGAGAAGGACGTACCAGGGATTTACAATGCGATGAAGAGATGAATGAACTTGTGGAAGATAGTGGCGGCAGGGAAAACGCCTTAACTGCCGCGGTTAGGATTTAAACTGTTCCAAAGCAGTGATACAACAAAAAATGAACTGATGTCGGTAGGACACGGAGCATCTAGCCTAGTGGAAGTGCTTCTGCTCTTGAGTGAACGTCTGCGGGTTCCATTCCCGCGCCTCGCATTTATTTTCCGTAGAACCGCATTGACAAACTACTGTCCGACGTTGTTTGTTCGCTCTTCTTTAGTTTCTTCATAATATGCTTTTTTCTGTTGTAAAAACTGCTCTTTCTTGTTTTCATATCACTTCTTCGTAGTTTCTGCTATTGCTTCTTCGTTGCGTGCTCTGTATTACAGACAGAGAAAGCAGAGCACGCTTCGCTCTCCGACGCGGTCTCTCTCGCTTTCTCTATCGTGCGGTGTGACCCCTAACCTCGCGTTGCGCACACAAAGCTCATAGGCGTGCAACTCAACTGACAACTGGCTCGCTCTCGCTCCCTCACCCGATTCAGCTAGACCACCTTTCCAGCATCCGAGCGTACAGCTCGAAGACAGATTGCCAGCGGCTTCCCCGGAAGCAGGCGCTCATCGCCGTGTTGTAAGAGATTGAGTCTGGTTTCCTGCAGCGTCAGATGGGTGCAGAAGCAGCCTAATATCCCCGTTTCAGCGGCGTTGGCCTGGTAGAATACAGCATGCTCAAGGACTCCTCCCACCGCCAAGTCTGTGCCAATGCCGCCAGAATTGTGTTGACCTGTGGACATGACCGTTGGCCATTACATGCAGCTTCAAGAGAAACAGGCCCGTGTTCGCCCACCGTACCGATGGAAGGTTCGCAAGTCCAATGCTGAGTTAAACCACACTTAGAAGGTTCCGTAGTCACCACACTCTACTGTACGAATTTGGCACAGTAAACACAATTTGAAGTACCCCTGCCATGATGATGTCCGGCTTGAAGTAGCGGTGTGTGTCTGCGTAGATCGCCAGTGCTGCCTGCCACTGTGCACCTGAATGGCAGCTGTTAGTCAGTGAGTGGTAGCGATGTCTCGCTCCGTGCCTCGCGCGACGGCTGCAGCCACGGCATTGAGAAGGACAATGTCCGGCTGCATGTTACGCGAAGACTCCTGACACCACTGACGCAGTCGTCGAAGCATGAAACCCTCAACGCTGCGTCTGCACCAGTATCCGCACCTCCAGGAGCGCAAGGGCCCTGTCCCAAAACAAAGCATGCCCACAAGCCTGAACGACATAGCATCGGTTTAGCGCTACAGGTTTTCCAGCTGATGTGCATAACTCCTGCCTCCACAAGTGCCGCAAAGGTTACCAGAGTTGGCCGGAGTTGCTGCGCTTCCATCATCGGGAGAAGTGCCACCGCTCCCTGTGTACATCAGGCTCAGTCTGCCGTGACTGCTTTCAGCAGAAGCGGGACCTGCCATTGGCTGCCTTTCTTACAGGCAGTGATGGCTGCATTCCAGGCAATGGTGTCAGGCACCAGGAGCTGGATCTCCATGCTGTGGATGAGGTACACGGCTGCCTTGAAAGTAGACAGAAGCAACAGAAGCTTGCCAAAAACAACAGTCCACGCCTGCCACTGCTGCGCTCCCCCGCAGGCGCTGATTGCAGCGCTTGCCACCTTGAGGTTAGGACCTCAACCGAGATGTACTACTCCAAAACCCAGCTGCCCCTAGCTGCCCCAGCTCGAGCTTCCCAGTCCTTGCATCGTGTCCATCAGCGCCAGAACCGCCTGCCACTGGGCACGCCGGCTGCAGGCAGCTGCAGCAGAGCCATACGCGGATGGCATCCTGCCAGGACCATTATCCGGATATCTTCACAACAGGCATGTAACGATGCCAGCAACATAAGTGTATGAAGCACCTGATGCCTCGAATGTGCATGTCTGCGACAAGCCATATGCACCACTCCTCAACGTCGGAGTTGAACGCAAAGCGTTGCTTGTGACTGTGCTTCATTTGGAAGTCTCATCGTGCCAGGAAGCCCAATGTAAGCTTTTGCGGAAGGCTTCCATTCCGGCGGTGTATGTTTGGTGGCAGGGATGCCTTGGCTTCACGTGAGATTGAAGGGCACTTTGGCTCACAAGAATTCAGTACACAAGCTTTGTCAAAGTGGGAAAGTCAGGCCGCTCGTGTAAATTCCGAAGAAGGTGTGCCCACTGGCCATGTGCGGCACTTGCCAGCCTTGGAGCAAATGAAGAGTGCGACGAAACTCAAGGTGAAAACAGGTCAAGACTCAACACCTAGTTCATCCTAGTTCCAATCATCCTGCAGCTCAGCCGCTGGGACTGGGCTTTGCTGGAGGACCACATGCGCCGTCCGCAGACCGGAGATCTGACCCACACATGGTGGCGCCACATGTCACCAGCTCCCCTAAGAGCTAAGCCCTCCTGTGGACCGGAAGCGCAAGGGCAGTGAAATGCAGTGAACATGGAACTACGTTTCGAGGCCTAACGCTTGGGACGCTGTGCGTCCGTAAGGATTCCCACGACCCGCCAGTTCGCAAGTTGCGGGATTAAGCGCGGGCTCGTCCACAGAATTTCTTCGACAATTTCGCTTGCCGGCCGTCAGAAGTCCAATTTCTTGAACATCCATGCATCTTCATCCAGGCGATCAACCTCGTGGCGGAATTGGATTGGGGCTGGAAGTCTAGAGAACACCGTCATGCACTGCATCATGTTTGTGACATCTGCCCTGCCTCGCGCCGCAGTTCTGTCATGATTCCCTCGAGGACCTGCCGTTGAAGCTGCTTGACTGACTTCGCGAACCCCACACCCGTCCCTAACTAGTCCTAACTCTTCATGTCGCCTCGGCCACTCTCCGCCATGCTGCCAGCGACAACCAACAGTAACAACGCGACAAAGAACCACGCGACTATGCAAGCTGTTATGAATGTCACACCGTGCAAATCCTCGAGTCTTCTGTTCTGTGCGACTGCGCCTTCTGCTTGAACTTGCGGTCGCGCTCTGACTCCTCGTTACGAGTCTCTCGAATGCCTCAGTCCATGGTGCGCACCGAATCAAACACACATTGATGTCACTGTGTGCTCACATGCTGAGAAGTCCGCCGGTTTGCGGCCTCAAGATGGCTTGGGACTACTACAACATTACAGTAAGTACATGCCAGTACATGCGATCATGTCTGCTCAAATGGTCAACCTTCAACCTTTGCAGAAGAACGTGGACAACGCGACGGTGATGATTTTGTAGACGTTGATTGGAGGCATCTTGAGAATGAGGCCATGATGAAATGCCTACAAGAAGGCAGGGTGACAAAGCTCTGTAGTTCATCCCCTGCCGCCTTGTTTCAAGATCCCTGCCTGCCCACGCAACCCAAACAAGGCTTTTGAAAACCGATTTGGCGAAATCCTATAACAGGTCAGGCCGCGTGCGACTAACCTCGCTTTGCACCACTACTGTCACTAGGGAATCAGTTGGAGGCAGGGACTTTTGCGAAGACCAGAAAATTCGACTGAGAGATGAGACAAGATGGTATTACAAAACCGACTGCGACGGGATTTCTGGTTAACTTGGAAAACGTCCTGCGGCCGGCATTTTCAACATAATGCCAAATACAGCAAGGAGAATGTGGATTGTCATGACATCTACAACAGTATTCAGAGAACCTTAACCACTAGTCCTCCCCACGACGAACCCAGCTGTAAGGTTTGGGTTTTGGGAGTTTTCTGCACTCGGACACGAAAGACCATGAATTCAATGCAGTCATCAGCCTGACAGATCTTCATGCCGATGATTCTCTTCATGATTCTCGCACCAGCTGCCCGGGACTCGGCAAAGAACTTATGTGGTGCAACATCGTAGTGTAGTGGTCCCCCCTGAAGCCATGTCATGCTATTTCTGTGTACATCCTCGCCTGATGTCACGGCACGAGATCACACACTCCTAAGACCCTTAGCCAGCATTCAAGCATGGCTGCTACATGTCCCATCCGATCGGCCATGCAGCCCCCGCGCAGAAGCCCCGCTCCAGTTGGTCCATGCAGCACGGCCTGGCTCGAAGAACATATTAAATTATTAATTAGCGCTAACTGCCAACTCGAAGGTATAAACCGATATATACATGTGATGGATCCACACTCGAAGCACTTCTCTGAAACGAGGTCCCCACCACCGGTCGCGCTTGCGGTGCTCGCAGCTCCGGAAACACTTTCGAAATGGAACACCGGCCTTGGGATCAACCCCGCTGCGCTTCCAGCTCCGTACTGGTGGCAAAGGCTCCTGCATTCGGCCCTGGTCGGCCCTGAATCCCCATGGCGTTGGCATCGAGAGGCGACGGAGATGAGCCCGGAATCTTGCTTGTGAAGTGCGTGTCGGCAGATGAAAATAATTACTCATGTTGCACCAGCCTTGTACTAAGGAGGCCCCTCTGCGGGAGCAGGAGATCATACAGGCAAGATCTGATGCCGCATGCAGCACAACTTGACGTGATGCTCATTACCAGTGCATTTAGAAACGGCCTTTGTCAAGGCATTTCAGAAACACACGACTTGTTCGCGGTATGGTCGCTGCTTTAGCAGGTGCCAAATCGCAGATCACCGCGTGAGGCGACAACTTGTGTGCCCAAAGCTCATCATGCACTTCTAGCTACTAGTTGGACTGTGCAAGTGTGTCCATGCACTGTGGAAATGCCGAGATGGAACGCCCGCAGTCCAAATTCAACCTCATCAGGATGAAATCAAGACGAGAAACCAAGTGGCTTACATGCATTTGATGTTCACCCTGCTCGGTTAAGAAATGGGCTCCATCCTTAAGGATGAGCCAAGCTAGCGATAAAATCAATGGCCTGAGCGATTGCGTCGCTCTCTGCGCTGCTTCGACGGTTCGCAGCTGAGACAAGCTAGACTCGGCCGTCCGCCGCATTCGCAGGAGCAGGCGGCGCAAGTTGTAGGAGGCCTCGTACAAGCGATGCACACAGCAGGCAAACGGCGGCCTGTGTGCATAGGCTCCTACAATGGACGAGCAAAAGGCACAGGAGTGCTAATCTGCAGTTTGGCCTGGTCCATGGCTAGAGTGTCCGGCAACGAGCAGCTTTGGCTCTCCAGGGTCTCCACAGTCAAAAAGCCTCGCAGGCATCGCAGGTCCAAGGTGCTCTCGCAGTTATCTCGCTGAAGAATGGGAAGACGGCATGACTTGAACTTCACAACTCGGCAGTTGCGGATGTCCTGTTTTCCGAAGCCTCACAACGTCTTTGAACTTCGCATGAAATTTCTTTTGTATTGGTTGCCCGCCGTGCGACCCGCTTGTGAGTACACAGTGGGCACACGACTCGGATATCATTGCTAGTTGGTGGGCCTGATGAGGTTCCAGGACAGCATGCCGACCACCCTCTCGCGACTTGCCTAGACCCCTTGTGGCCTGCACAAAGCAGTGGGCTGAAATCCACGTGGCAGATCTGTCGTCCATTGCCTGGCGCCACGCGGCGGCTACAGCACATCAACTTTAACGGCTTCGAGGCCTGAGCAGGTGTGGGTCGGCTTGCACATTCCAGGCTTCAAGCAGCCCCGAAGAGAGGATCCAGAGCAAGCCGCCTGACAGAATGCCGATTCCGGAAAGGCTAGGCCTCCTAGAGGACACATCACAAGCGACAAGGGCTGCGAGAACACGACTCTCCGACGCTCGGCAAGGGAGCCCTTGGCCTTGGAGGTGGAATGCCTGCAATGCCTGCGCCTTCACAGGCACGTCGCACGCCCAAGCCTTGAGAGACGCCACGTCGCGGTGAAAGTCTGTGAGGGATGGTCAGGCATGGTCAGGCTGTGGCGGAGGCCGCAAGCGAGCTGGGCACGGAGACGCCCTGGCCTTCGGAAGAAATTCCTTAGCCGGATGCTGGACTGGGCAGCGCGAAAGTGCATGCTGGATGCATCTGGATGGATGGATATGCATGGCGCACTTCAAAGCTTTAAGAGATCCTGCAGTAAACAGCGAAGCTCGGAGCTGGGTGCCATGCCTTCCAGACTCACATGGAGCACTTGCAGATGCTTTTGTCCTGCGAATGTCTCAGAGTAGAAGCGCCGAAGCAGCATCTTTAAACTTATCTTGGAAAAGTTGCCCGGGTTTTTAACCACATTCCCGGATGCAAGTAGGTCATGTATCCATGACAAGAACGCAGTCTCGCTTTGCGAACCTATCGTCCCGTCTGCCTGCAGAGCGCTGCAGAGATGAGCGGTCTGCATTTGGACGTGGAAAGCTTTCAGGATGCCGTGCCGACTCGCATGCAGACGACAGGTTTGCCCATGCGAGATTTTTCAGTTAAGTACAACACGGCTTCCCAAATCTGGTTCGCAATCTGGATTTGGGTCCGTTCATCACACCTTCCCGTTTTGTGCCCGTTGGGATCTGGCTTAAGTAGGCATCGACAAGCAATTATCCATGGGATCCCAACAAAGTCAAAGTCTGTCACGAGCGGACAGGAACAGGCCGGAACAGGTTCCGTGTCAGCAGGCACCCCCATGGCGGTCATCCTTGTTGCTGTTGTCCGTGCGACTCTGTCCACTCCCAAGAAAGTGAGGATAATGAGCACGAAGGCGAACGTGGCGCGGGCGATGGCACTGACAATGGCACAGTCATCGCAAGCATGCTGGACCCTGCTAGACACTGTGCGTGCGCACTTGCACAATTTGAAGCAAAGACAAAATTGCAGGGTGTCGACTGCATAAAACCAGTGCAAGAAGAATCCTCCCTAAAGCTAGAAACCCTATGACTGTGGCTCGCTAACTTCAGCAAGACAGCCAGCCTTCCACAGCGAGAACAAGGCAGAGTGCACCATGCTCACTCCTGAGCGAAGTCCCGCGTGGGAAAATCACAAAGGGGCTGCTATGCAGGCCAAGCCACAACCACTTTTTTCGGGCAGAATTTCTTCTGTGCCATGTGACATTGCCGCAAGCGTGTTGCTCGCTTCACGCAGTGCTTCGGCTTGAAGCACATCAGCTATGTCTGTCACAAGCACAGCTGATTCGCTAGTTGCAGACATGCATTCTCCTGTCTGCCAGGTCCTACAAACATGGGAAATCTCGTTAGCAAGACTTCCCCCTGGTCTCTGACGACCGTCGCCGAACAGCTTCTTCAAAGCATTCAGCAGGTTGCTACATGCTCTACGTCCTCTTTGCACTTTGCCGTCATCGCTGCTCACCGCAGCTCGCAGCAGGTCGGACAAGCTCTTCAAAAGAAGCACTATGCCGGCATTGTCTGGCAAGCTTTCTCCCCTGTGCCTGTCTTTCCAGCTCCGGCAAACTCTTGCAACTTCGTTCCTGAATTCTTCTCCATGTGAATTCTGCCAAACTAGCTCTTCTAGAGCCACCAGCAAGTCAATGCAGGCATCACTTTGCAAGCAGCTTGAAGCCTTACTCTTCGAGTCACCGTGGTGGTGGTCGGCGGCCGCCGCAGCCTCCGAGCAAGCTGCCGCGGCGTCCTCAGCCAAAAAATGCTTTTGCCAGGTCTCCAGGATTTCCTGGCACAGAACTGTGAAGGAATACCTGCTCAAAGGCATGTCGCCTCGCTGTTGCACCAGACTTTGCACTGTGTCTGCTAAATCTCTTACCAAGGAAGCCCCTAAAGAATTTGGAGGGAATCCTCGAGCTGACAGGTTTCTCGCCCTCCAGCTTCTGCACAAGTTTTCGACATCTTGCGAAAAACTTCGCTGATGCCCGCGGAAGATTCTCTCCAAATTTTCCATCAGCTCAACAAACAATTCACCACTAGCCAAATCACCAGACGCGTGAGCTTCATGCTGAGCTTCACGGAGCGTTCTTGCAAGCTTCTCTGCAAGCTCTGCTGCCTCATCGATTACAATGTGAACTTTACTCCTTGGGCTGCTTGAGCAGTCAGGCTGTATATGTGTGAACTCTGGGGCAACCTGAGAGTTGCTCGAACGGCCATATGTCCAACATGTATACACGCCAAGTGCCGAGCAAAGCAAACCTGCACCGAAGCCTCCCAGAATCGACGGCACAGCTCCAACTTGCAGCGGATCTCCCGCATTCTGTGCCTGCAAGGAGGGAGGGTGCGCCGGGTGCGGGAAGGACACGAACGAGCCTGAGCTCGTCTGTGAGGAAGTGCTTGGAACCGTTGCCGTAGAAGACCCTGTCGTGGTTGATGCAGATGTGGTGGGTGTGACTGTGCTGCTGAAGGACTGGGTGGAAGTGAAACTCGAGGTGAGAGAGGTAGACGTCGTGGTAGATAGAGAACTGGAAGACGTCACAGTCGACGTGGATGTGGAGGTGGCTGTGACAGTCGATGAGTATGTGCTGCTGGAGGTTTGGGTGGAACTGAAACTGGAGGTGGAGGAGCTGCTGGACGTCTTGGTGGAGGTAAAAGTGGCAGACATCGTGGTTGACGCAGATGTCGAGGTGGCTGTGAAAGTCCACGAGGATGTACCGCTCGAGCTTCGAGTGGAACTGGATGTCGAGGACATGCTGGATGTAGTGGCTGTCGTGGTAGATGTCGAGGTGGAAGACAATGAGTTCGTGGAGCTCGACGCTGTGGTTGAGGCGGATGTGGTGATGCTTGTGGGCGTAGAGGAAGATGTGCTGCTGGAGCTTTGGGTGGAGATGGATGTGGAGGAAGTGCTTGACGTTCCTGTGGACGTAGGAGTGGAAGACGTGGTGGTTGAGGAAGAGGTGCTGGTGGTTGTGAGTGTAGAGGATGTGCTACTGAAGCTTCGTGTGGAGCTGGAGGTGGAAGAAGCGCTGAACGTCTGTGTGGATGTAGAAGTGGACGATGATGTGGTAGATGCAGTAGCTGTGGCAGTAGGCGAAGATGTGCTGCTGGAGGTCTGGGTAGAGCTGGAGGTGGAAGAAATGCTTGTTGTCTTCGTTGATGTAGCAGTGAAAGACAGTGTGGTCGTGGAGCTCGATGTCGTCGTTGATGAGGATGTGGTGACTGTGACTGTAGATGGAGATGTGCTGCTGGAGGTTTGGGTGGAACTGGCGGTGAAGGAACTGCTTGTTGTCGTCGTGGACGTATAAGTTGAAGATGCAGTGTTCGTGGAGGTAGATGCACTGGTTGATGTGGACATGGAGATTGTGCTGGAACGCGATGATGAGCTACTGGTATATGTTGTGGTAAGTGTTGGCGTAAAGGATGTGCTTCTGGAAGATGTCGTTGTTGTGCAGGCATCCACATCTGGAATGGACATGTTGATATCACCATCTTCTGTGACACCTGGGGTCTGGCGAGGGGTCAAGCAAGCTCAGAGGACCTACGAGTAAATGAGCGAAGCCCCCATTCTTGTACCCGAAGCTGTTGACTGAACAAGCAGAAGGATTATGGGGTGGTTTTGGGCCCACGGCTGCAGGCCTGCGATGGTCAGAACAGTTCGAGCACCTACCTCAAAATCTGACGATAAATTGACAAGGTTGTTCAGCGCCATTGGCAGCTCCACAGCCGGTGTAGGATTTGCACCATTGAGGTCCTCAGCAAAGTAAACTTTCCAGGACCTCAGGTATGTAAAGTCGGCATCGGCAGGGAGATCAAAAGAAATGCTACCACCGAGGAAGCCACAGCGAGGATCTGCATCCACAAACGTCACATGTTGTTGATCAAAAGGTAAAGTGGTGAACGACCCACCAATATCATATAAGGGAATGATGGCGGAGGGAGCAAGCTCTGAAGCCAGCTGCCAATTTCCTGAGATAACTGTATAAACTTGCAAGTAGCGGGGCGGCGTCGCACCAGGCATTGCCATGATTGCTTGTCGCGGAGTGTCTGCCAGCGTAAAATTTGAGTTAAGTTTGGATAGATGCCCACCAAATCCTCCATGATCCAATTCAGCAAAGGCTGTGAGGTCGACAGTCGATGGCTCGTACGTCGCAGCAGCTGTAATCAAAAACCGATACCCGTCAACATCCGTCAAATCCGAAGGCCGTGTCCAGCTGACAGGTCCCGCTAATGTCCCAAAAACATCGTTCGTGTCCATAAAGACAACATCAGTGACACCACGATAGGCATCTGCGACCACCGTGACTGACAGCATCAGAAGGTGCTGCAAGCATTGACAGATCATTGTCGGCTCCCACCGAGCTTGCCGTTAGCGCCATGTGCGGCTCTGTCTCAAGCTGTTGTATTTGGCTTTATAATGCTTTGCACCTGTCCAAGGTTTGGGTATGTTGCTCGAACTGCTATGCAAAAAACCAGCCCATCATTGAACTTTATGACAGCAAAGCTGAGCACAACAGTAACAATCAATTGCTTCTTGTGGCAGGGCGAGACCTGAAGTGACGTCGTCACCGGTGAGCTTTGCTGGTAGGATTTCTGACGATGCGGACAAGCGCCTACAGGACTACTACAGGGAAGGCTCGTGACATCAACACCTTTTCGGCATTGTACGGTGTGAGTAACACAAGTCGTGGCCCAACAGATCTTGCAAGACAGGGAAGAGTTTTCAGTTTGATCTTCAAAAGCCAAGCTTCAGCAAGCCCTCACATCCAGAGAGAGCGCCGGACAGGCGTCCTGACGTCGGAGTTTGGGAATTCAGACCCCTTGAAGATTCAAGTCACACAGCAGCCACAGCGACAAGTCCTGCTCTGTGGGGCAGCTGTAGCCTCCGAACATGAGGCACCAAGAGACCTGTGAACTGTGACCTGTGGGGATGCCTGGCATGCATGCCATGCCTGCCTGACCAAGCGGTCCCCAAGCAAGAGGCTGCCCGGCAGGCGTCGGAAAGCAAGGCAGCCGAGACCAACGCCACAGAACCTGGGTAAGGCTTGCATGCTCTTGTATGCTCGCGCCCGCGGAAAAAACCCGTCGGAAGTCTTCCGATCCGCTCGCTTTGCACAGTCTCCACACACAAGCTACTGCCCAGTTGCACCGAGTCACACAAGTCCCAATGGTTCTACACAAAGCGTCGCCAAAGAGCAATCAAGCCGACCCACTTGTTCCCAAAAGGAGTGAACTGTTCAGCAGTTACATGTCTTTCGAGCCTCCCGTCTCATGCTCTACGGCTCTGGCTTCTCAGTGCCTCCTGCAAACACAGACAACGACACCAAAATCCTTAAGCAGGCAGGGTTTCTTGATCCGTTTACTCGGCGCACGCTGAAGTTCAAAGATGCAGAGCAGGATGAGTTCCCCTGACCTTGAAGTTCACAAACTCTGGCTTGCGGTGACTTCAATTACGAGTGCAAAGTTCTCAGTTCCTTTCTGTCTGTCGATCAATGTACTATGCCGTCGCTGCGTTTCTTGACATGCGGCTCAACTCGGTTCTGATCAGCCTGTGACCAACCATGCCGAGGTCATGCCTCTCTCTCTGAGACTGAGGTGACTTGATTGTACAGTCCAGCGCTCATTGCAAGCACAGCTTTGGCGCTGTTGTGCTGCTTGGCCGGACCGTGCGGGGTGCTGCTTGGAGTTGCGACTCCGGTGACGCTTTCGAATGTCAAAAAAGGCTCAATGGGTCATAGTGAATCTCAATGGATCACAATGAATTGCTGGTTAGACGGGACTTAAGGCTGCGTCCTACTGAATTGCTGTGGTGTCTGCTGTCCACGACATCCAGACAAAAACTGCGCTGGATGTCGGCAATCTGGTTGCTGAATGGTGACGCAATGGGATGCAGCAGTGTAGTTGCAATTGTGATAGAGGAGGCCTCCGGGAGCACCGTCCATCTTTGGCTTCCCTGCTGGCCTTGACAACTGCATGTCTAAACCTTAGTAACCCAATTCCTCTCAATGTCCTGTCTGTACCAGTGACAGCATTTCATAAGGCTGAGCCAATTCTTGGCGATCAAGCTTGCGCTTGCCTTGCAGGCATCGACTCTCTGCCCAAGGCGTTGGCACGAAGATCATACATCTAAGTAGCTAAACCATGCCGCCATTTTCAATAACCTGTGCTCGAGCTGAGGAGCACAAGGTTTTCAGAGCAGCAGAGTGGGCTCTGAAGCTTCGAGACAGCATCTTGCACCGCCCTCTGCAGCACGTGTTACCGGCCTAGCCATTGCCTGGACTCTGTATGAAATTAGTTCTGCTTCTGCCCGGGAACAGCTCCTCCGTAGAAGTCTCGTGTGCAGCGGAATCGCGCAGGGCGTAACGAGCCTGATCGACATAGGAGGCTCAAGGTTGACAACACTCTGCGAACATCTGAGAACATGGTTGACTGTGCGAACATCTTTAAGTGATTCAGAACGGATGCACTTCGCAGGCTTCAAACCGACTCAGGCGCCTCTTCTCTTGAACATTGAAAGCATGTTCATCACACGTGTGCAGCAAGTCGTCCTGCTCTGAGGACCGAACAAAGGGAGTGCGCACCTGGGCATTTCACTACTTATACTACTTGTAGTAGGACGGCAGCCGCTGCGAGACAAATGCTGTCGCGTCGATACAGCACGTTTCTTCATTATTTGGTTTACTCTTGACATCCTAATGCGAATATCTCAAGTGAGCAGTGAGCACTCGGGACTATGTATATCCAAGTCGGGTGTCAAGCCGCGTAATGCCACTGAGGTCATGGCGACAACAGGACTCTCGCTCCGTGCCCATGCATACTCGCAGGGGATGCATTGCATAGCCTCCATGCCACGAGGTCTCTCTTCAGTCTCTTCGAGCTTGGACTTCCCTCGTAAGATACTGGGCGGGGGTGCAAAGTTGACCGAAAAACACGAAACGTTAGGACCTCCGAGTTGGATGATCAGAAAGGGGTTCGAGCGAGACAACATGACATGGTGTCATGGCGTGTCCGATGGCGGAAGGCCAGCCAACCTCACGTGCACCGAGGATTCATTTTGCATGGGCTTGAACTCGCTCACTACTTGCTTTACAAACCTCCACAACTGCTGCAGCATGGCACCTCGATGCGGATGAAGGTCCCGTATGGCCAAGTTGTATTCACGTGCTCCTTCCACACTGCAGCTGCTACGTACAAGGGATCGGCTGCGACATGCCGGTTGTATCACAAAAATTCGCACCTTCTGAGGCACCAAGTGATCGGGCCCATGGAGCCTCCGCTCTTCTACGATGTAGGACACCTGACTGGGCGAGCTCTCAATCCACGCTTGCCTAGATTGAGCCAGATATGCTCCTGACCACCAGTGCAGTGCAGGCAGCGGGCCTGATGGTCGACCAGAAGTACTCGAGACTCGCGCATGGCTGCCGTGACGCCCACACCTAGCAACGCAAAGCACATTGGACTACTGTCTAAGGTCAGTTTCAACAGGAGCAGCTGGGGGAGGCGTTTCCCCAATAAACCCCCGTTACGACTCACCAAACAAGGAAAGTCATAACAAATCTTCTATGCCCGAAGGACTCTCTGCGTCGGAGACATGCGCGGCTTCTCTGCAAAATGCTGGTGGTAAGTCATAGCAATCCAATCTTTCCCCTTGTAACTGCGCCTCCACAGTTAAAAGCATAGGAGCTGACATCTAATGGACTTTTTGTTTGTGGCTGCGAGTTGGCAACGAACCGCAGCTGAAGATCTCCGAAGCAGTTAATGCGAGATACCTGAGAGGTGTTGATTCCCGACCACAGGTAGTGACCGAGACTCCTTTTCGATGCCAACATGATAAAAAGCAAGTCTCTGACGAATCCAGCAAATCCGACTATTCTTCACCACCGGAACCCAGGTCGGACGCTGAGACGGCTGATGTTTGGATGCATGCCAGGCTGACATCTGTGTTCAATATCATTCGTCTGTTTCCCTGCCTTGAACGCTGAAAGGTAACGCCTTCCATTCACACTCAGTCCTCAGTAACCCCAGGCCGTAACCCGAACCCGTCAAACAAGCCATACAAACGAAACCCTCAACTTGAAACCTCGCAAGCACCGTGCACTACGCCATGCTAGGTAACAAGACCGGATCGGATCAGACACCAACATAGATTTGAAAACTCCCTTAACAAAATTCCCGATTTAATGGGCCGCCCGCAGAGAGCCGGAGAGCCGAAGCCGAAGAGCTGGGGAGCGCACCGAGCCAGATCACTTGGATGGTCCGAGTGAGGCAGCTCACTGTTCGCCAGGGCAAGCGCACGGGCTTGTAGAGCTCCTCTCCGACTCCCCTCACTCTCTCAACTGTTCTCAACTCTCCACTACAAGCCCTTCAAGCCCTTGTGTCTTAAGTCGTGTCCTTTGTCTCCCGGGCAGTGAAGGCCCCATGGATCGCAGAAGCCCTTGGCGTACTGTCTGGCTTCTCTGCATCTGCATCTGCAGCAGGGATATGTGTGATCACAGTGACGACTTACTACTCTTTCTGCAACACACGCAGGCCAGAGCTGTGCGATGTGTGCGCCTGCTATGTCCTTTTTGACCCCAGGTGGTACTTCTGTAGGAGCTTGAGACATCCTCGATCTCGCAGGCATACTTTCGAGAACACTCCCTCAGGCCCAAGCCTCTCTTTCATGATACTACGGATCCTGACCTCTGCCTGGAAGACCACGAGCAATCTATGAAGGAGCAGCCAGGATGTTAGGTCAAAAACCTTAGAAACAACTATCATGCACTACGGCCGACCGCAAACCTGGGTTGGAAAACCACACGTAAGCCTGATCCAGATTTACGCTGCCACTCCCGCCAACAACACAGGCCCGATGAAACGTGATAACGACATTTAAGACACTTGCGCGGGAGAAGTTTGTGCTTGGGAGTGGTCAGTGGGTTTGGCCATAGTTCGCTTGAGCCTCGTTAGCAAACACTTTGTGCTTAGACAGCGTTGTTGGTGTTCTTTCGGGCTTAGCGGGAACCATGAGTCCAGCCTTATATTCAAGCGGTGATGTCAGGCCCGGCTTAGGAGCGCTATGGAGCGCTCTTTCTATCAGTCAAAGCGGAGTGTTGTTTCCGGACACGGCATCGGAGCTTCGGTCAAGTGGACTGGTCGCTGTTGGCACGAGTTTCGAACTACGATTGCAAAGGGGACTCACAAAGTGATCAGGGATAGATACACTTTCTCCACTCGAGCCTTCCACTAGATCTCTAGATATGCTTCATGCTGCACCGACACAGCTTGAAATCCTTTCGGTCCTGCCTTCCATGGATTCGGACTACAACAGAAATTCTGTCGCAGGATGAACAGGATCGTACTTTGCTGGGGTTTAGGGTTCAGGGTAACAACACGGGACAACTCGAAACAAAACTCGGGAATAGTCCGAGCAAAACCCAGCCGCCACAGTGATGTCCGCGCAGATCACAAGAACTAGCTACCCTTAGGGAAAGCACAGAAATGCACAGAACAAAGCCAACAACAAAGAAAAAACACCCAACAAGCACCAACACAAAAAACAACCCGATCACACAACCCAGCCATGGGGTTCTGCATAGCCTACGTCTCCGTGTAGTAAAGGACGTAGACTTAGAATGACGCAGACGCAGCAAGAGAGCTGCGACTGCCGTTACGAGGCAGCGGAAGCCTGTTCCGGTGCTTCCCTGAAAACTCGCGTGCTTCCCAAAACGTCCTGCGGATGTCGTCCATAAGGTGCTGGAAGTCTCGCACAGTTTCGGCTGCATCTTCCAGAGTCAGCACGCGCGCCGACCCTGAGCCCACTGCGATGCAGGTCTCGCAGGTGCAGCGGGCACTAAGTCTAGCAGGAAAAGTCCTTGCGAATCCCCGCCAGCCTGGGAGATCGTACAGGAGCTTGTAATTTCCAGTCGCCATTGTGCCCTCCTGAAAGCCACAATGGCAGGGCATGGCTTGGGCAGGTCCATGAAGGCAGCGGCAGCAGCTACGGAATCTCAACCTTGCACCAAGTCTCAATATCCCAGTGGTACTCTGCCGGTAGGCCGGCGGAGTTGATGTAATGGAAGGGTCCCAGGACGGTGCCTGGCAGGCACTGGCTGCAGTGGTGCTACCTGTAGGTTTGAAAGGAACATGCGCATCCTGCCTGCGCAGTGCTCGAGCCTAATCTCGGCGTCCGACAGCTCGGGCCACTCGCGCATGCGAGTCATCTCCAGGGTTGATGCGAGTCACGGATCCCTGACCCGTAGTGACGAAAGCAAGAGCCTTGACTTCCAGGTCGCACTCGTCAAGAAGCTCCTGCAAGCCAGCCTCAGCATGATAGAGTGAAGTTCCTACATTCGTTGGAAATCATGGTCCTAGCAGCGCTATCGTAGCTGACACATGCTGACACAAGATGGTGCGAGCCGGGAGTCCATTTCAAGTCGCAAGTAGTCGCTGAGCTTCTCCAGTTCCTTTCTCCTCCATCGCAAGAGACTCTAGGCTGTCCCACGGAATACCAACAGCACGCACTAAACGCGAAACTAGCCACCAAGACAAGTCTCTGCCGCAAAGTAAGCCACATGCCAGGGACTTCCTCCCAACGGCGCAAAGCTGCTTGGGCACGCTGGAGTGCGTCCTGAACGATTTGAACCTGGCACCGTGCAACCTTTATTGCTTTTCCAAGCATACGCATGGCCCCTTCCGCTGTGCCTTCTCAACCAAAGCCAAGGTGTTTACAGCAGAGAGCACTGTGCCCTTCTTTGCCATAGCTATCTCTGCAGGATCTTCTGCTTCTCCAAACACATCCTCGGAATGATCGCTTGCCGGTTGATTGACAATGAGCCTCTTCCGACCCTTTGGCGTCCGGCCCTGTGGCACCAAGGCACGTTTACAGAGTTCGGCCTTTCCGAGCAGTTCATCGATTATGACAACGGAAGGCTGCCCGCACTGCCCTAGAGGACCCCTGGGCCCTTGTCAGTCTTGACGAAATCCTTCCCCAGCAATGACCCGCAGGTGAGCAGCGGCAGCAGCAGCCACCACCACCACCACCACCACCACCACCACCAACAACAACAGCAACAGCAACAGCAGGAGCAGCAGCAGCAGCATCAGCATCAGCAGCAGCAGCAACAGCAGCAACAGCAACAGCAACAGCAGCAACAGCAACAACACCAACACCAACACCAACACCAACACCACCACCACCACCACCGCCACCACCACCACCACCACCACCACCACCACCACCAACAACAACAACAACGACAACGACAACGACAACGACAACGAAAACGACAACGACAACAGCAACAACAACAGCAGCAGCAGCAACAGCAGCAGCAGCAGCAGCAAAAGCACCAACAGCAACAACGTAGTCAATGAAGCCAAGCTTCCATAAACAGAACTGCTCGGAAGTGCCGAGGAATGCTGGACTCGCCCGACACTGGCGATGCCACCCAGTGCAGCAGCTCAAACCAAGCAATCTCCTCGTGAGGCATCAGCTTCAAGTCACACCGCGACTAAAAAACCAAAGCCAGGCTACCTTCTCCTGGCCAAGGCTCGAGCGGATAGATCGCAATGGAGATCATGTATGCATTGTGTGGAACGAGCTCTCCGTCTTCCCGTTCCGCAAGCGTCAGCGACACGCATGCGGCGATGGCCGGCAGGAAGCCGATGAAGGACAAATCCAATCCCCTGCACCATGGGGAAAGCTGCTGATGCATATCCGTCTGAAGCACACAACGAGTTAGATTTTCACCAATAGCGTTTCAATTTTTCGGGTTATGTCACATCCTCATCGTCGAAGAAATAGTGGCTCGGATGCTAACCAATTGAAGTTACACATGTCGGGAAGGTTCTCATCTGTCCATCTTGATTTATGCGGCCTCTTGATCCTACCGCAATGTCGTCGCATTAGGCAGTCGTGCTAGTTCCTGCTGTTGATGACATGGCCCATCGACCAGGCATGTCCTAGATGCATCAAGATCTAATGCCTTCACGCTCGATCACGCTCGTGGCAGACATTTTCCGCACCGTACCATGCGTGCACTGGCACCGCATCGAACGGCACGACCGGGAAGGGGTCCCACAGTTTGAGGCCACTTCATGCTTGCCTTTCTATCCATGTGTTGAAAATCTGGATCGTTGAAGAGGGTCAGATGCTGCCACGAGCACTAAAGGAATCTGCAACACTCTGCCACGTGCAATGTTGTGCAAACTTGAAAGTCAGGCGGTCCCGAGGCATGGCAGGCCGTGGACGTCGAGGATCGTCATGTTGCAAGCGAGGGCCTAGCCAGACGAGAAGCGAAAGGCAAGTGCTGCGCACAGTTCGGAGTGACTGAAGCTTTTTTCATCGGCTTCCTGGAACACTGCAGTCAGCATGAAGCCCACCATCGGATTGTACGTCTGCACCATGCCTGAAAAGTCTGCGAACTGGAAAGACGGAAGTGACGATGTCTGAGTATGCTGGCATCCGTCAAAAGATCTTGTCTTTGCGCAATTTGCATCCCAAGGCATGGTTTCTGCCCAGTGGCAAAGCCCCAACAAGTAATAGTTGATCGACTGCAGCATGTGGCGCACCTAAGAGTTGACAGGTCATGAACCCATGAGCTCCCCTCGTGCAACTCACTGAAGACCCCGAAGCTGTCCGCCTGCTGCCACCTTTCTGCAAGAGAGGCACGCCCAAGGACATACAAACTCGGGAATATGCGTCAAAGCATTGCCACCTCGGACCGACAGCGCAAATGCAGAGACTTCGGGTCATACATGTTACAGAGCTGCGGTGATGCGTAATTGCCTTCCCTGCCTGGCTTGGAGCTGTCGGAAGAGCTGCACGTGTCGCCTCGTCCGGAACTCCACGGCATGCAGCAGCTCCTGCTTGAGATTCGGCGAATCGCAGTTTCGGCTCCTAGCATCTTGTCGCTCCTCGTTGCCGAGCATATTGTGCTCGCCACCGTAGGCAAACTCACCATCCCTTAGGACAGGGCTTACCAAGGTGGGTGGTTGCAGCTCTCAACAGCAAACTTCCAAGGAATTCTCCAAGAGTCTCAAGCTCATCCCCTGTAGGCTTGGGGACATTGGTAGCTCGGTTCTCTGCAGAAGCCACATCCTGACAGGCTCACAAAACCGCAAGAGAGAGACGCCGCATGAAGCCACGTTTCTCAGGCCGGGCCTGAGGCGGAACTTCCACTGTCGCGCGCTCGTTCCAAGTATTTCTTCCTGCAACCATCCACATTCCGAAAAAACCTTCATGCGCATCCGCATCCCTCGCAAAACCCGTGGTCCTGAATGCAGGAAGGGAACGCGAAGCAGCTGAGTTGCTTGCATCTCGCAGTCAGAGAGGCGTGCATTCAGCAGGTCTAGCTGGTCACATCCGGGGATGGGCAGCCGAACAAACCTGACAGACCGCCAAGTCGCGCATGCAAGACCCAGGCTGCTGGTTGAGGCTGTTTGGAAACTCCCCCCCACCTGGTAAGTAAGCGGGTTGCGTAGCTGTGCGACTTGATCGAGGCATGCATAGACAGCCAGATTGCCATCAGCAGGTATACTAATGAGCAGGCCTGATCACGGACAAAGGTCTCAGTCTTTCTCGATACTGTTCCACTTGGCTGGATGCCAATTGGCCAACCCTGGCCTGTGATAGATAATAAGCTACTTGAAGAAAGACCGGAGGAGCTTCCTCAAAGAAGCCTTCCGAGTAGTAGATACTGATCATGCGAATGAAGAGCGCACCTTGCAGCATCAGCATACAGGCGGCTTCAACACCACAGTTGCTGCTCACTTCGATGTTCTAACAACTTCAACATAGGAGCCTTTCAAGCTTCAAGCAAGCGTGACTCATGTTGCTGCTGAAAGTCCAACCATATGATAGAGGTCCATCTTTCCTACTGTCAGCTCCACCAGGTCTCGAATGTCCTGGCGGAAGAGGCGGAAACGCTCCACCTGCATCTTGAGCCGAAGCTCATCGCCTTGACCGCGTGCACCACGTCGCAACATGTAACGTCTGAAACCGACAATATCTCTTGGCCGACAAGGGTCGTCGGAAGCGTTGGTCTTGGTCGAAGGCGAAGTTTTGCCGGTTGTATCTGAAGATCTCGCCGGCAACTAGGCCGACACCAAGAAAAACCTGCAAGCTCAGTTTTGTCTCTTTTCGTGATGTGGGGCTTGATCAGACATCGCAAGGGCACCAGGGCCTCCATCGATTCTCAGAAGGCGCTGCAGGCGCTGTCTGACGGCGGCTGCCCTTCTTGGGCTGCACGCCGCTGACGCCGCGCTTCTCTTCCACGGCACGACGAGTGCCAATTCAAGCGGGGCTTCCATCGCCGGCGAAGTCTTCTACGCACACGTGCAACATCCTGAAGTCAGACTCTAAGGTTGTGCAGTTTCATGCCATTTCGTGCAATATATACCCTATTACCTAACTAGCTCACATTGTGGGCCCAAGACTTGATCTGCTGGCTGCAACTTCTCCGACACACCGAATGAACTAAATACCATCAACTACTACATTTACTACAGGTGTTTGCGGCAGCCAAAACCGCTGCACGAAGCACATCGCATGCTCCGCGACCAGGGAGCGAAGAGCGAAGCACGCTATGGCACGCTCTTATTATCAGGCCAACTGACAACCCTCTTCACGAGGAGTCTACGACGACGGCAAGTTTCACTTTGGAGTCGACAAGCCGTTTCATGGTCTCCGAGCGCTCGGAGTGTGTAGCTTCTCACGGGACTCATGCCCTGGCATCTTGGGCTGTCACTGGACGCACTGGATGACAAGCAACCTAAGCTGGCAGCCGAGAACAGCCAATGCTGGTACCAGCAACTGAGGCGAACACGAAGTCACACATCTGCTGCGCAACATCATCCTCGAGCCAGTGGAAGGCACTCTGTAACACCAAAATGGCCCCAAGCACCGGCCTCAAGCATGGCTAGGGGCCGCTGGCCTTCGCGGGTCAGCTTTTGGATCTTCGCATGCGAGTAACACAGTGAGGCCACAGGTCATTACAAGTGCAGCACGTCGCTCTCCTTTAGAGCGAGCCCGATGGATGATCGCCAAGCGAAGCCTTGCCACCCGGAGTGCAATCACATTGACACTCACATTTACATGGATTCGTCAAAGGTCCAGCAGGTGCCTGTTCAACTGCCACTGAAGTTTTGACAGGCAGGCGCGAGCAGACTCAGCAGAAAGCTCAATGTCCTGCTTTGGAACTGCCGCCCATTCATGGAGACAACAGGCAAATCAACTTTCGTCGTGCCTGAGGCAGCGCTCGGATATCAACCTAAGTGCGGCTCTTGACCGTGCTCCTCCGTATCGGCATGCAAGTTGAGTTGCAATCTGCAGGCTCAGGCACATTGTATCCATGTTACTAGAAGTCCAAGTCCACAGCGTTTGAATCGTTGGACAACAGAACCACGATTGATGGTTCGACCTCGCTGTGAAGTTTGTCGTGTCCGGTCCGTCAGGCAGCGGGTTCCCCAAGAGGCACACAGCAGCAAGATGAAGCCGCAGTACGGTGGCATCACAAACCGAAGGACCGAAGGGCTGTTTTGGCTGCGACATAGCCTCCATTGCCATCGCTTCTCAAGGGTCCTAGGCAAAAGAAGAGAGCCAAGCAATGCGAAGCAGCGCAGAGCAGCTCTTTGTCAGTTGCATGCGAGGCACGCAGACCGACGAAGTCCACCTCCAGCCGCACAGTCGGCATCCGGGCCGGCATCCCGCGAACGCGAGAAAGTCTCGCCTCGCTCAAGAGCTGTGCCCACAGAGCCTGAGCCACCACTCCGTTCGCGGTGGAGGCGCCGCACATTTCACGTGTTCGGCAGCCAGGCCTTTGGCAGCAGAGGGTCGGCTAACCGACGCTGTACAATCGGACCTCGAATCTGACAGGAATCGGACAGGGTCGGAAACGGTCTGGAAATGTTTGGCCAAAGCGCCGCCAAGCTCTGTCTGCTGGAGATCTCGGAGGGAGCGCATGGCATCAACATCTTCTGACACACCCGCACGCAGCTGCTCCAGCACCTACCGCAAAGAAAGAAAGTTAGAGTGCCATAATCCAAAAATGCCAGGCACTGTCTCGTTTGCACACTCCGACCTCCTGCAATGGTGTTCCATGCTGCAGAGCTGGGAAGCACTGTACGGCCTGTGGCTACTAGTTGTGGCAAACTTCCAGGCAATTCCAGCACAAATTCCAGCCTTCTCTAGAAAAGCGTCTCCAGAAAAACGCGGCATAACCAATTCTGGCAGCCCCGCCGTCCAGCCGCATTTCAAGTGCCTCCATAGGCCGGCAGGCCGCTTGGATCGACAACTGCGTGGCAATGCCTCTCGTCATCGTCAGCGAGGAATGCCAGAACCCAGGCGCGATCCGGCCAGTTGCAACCACAAAGCACCTCCACAAACGCAGGAGTGTTCTTTTGGGTTGGCGCTGCATGCGATTGTGCCTCGGACTTGCCATTGCAAAAGTGCCGGATGTGCCCTGTGGGGTACTGCTCAGGGACCTAAGCCCGTCGCGCAGATGCGACCGATCGCGACAGCGCAAGACCGTTTGCCAGATGTGCTAGATTGCGCAAGCACTGGACATTTGCCATACGCTGTGCGACTATCTGGGGGACAGGAGGAGCTAGCAGCTAGTCCATTCCCCGGCCGACCCGACCATGAACGGCCCCAGCGAAGCAGCAAGGATGAAGTGTGAGCATTTGAACAGTGAAGACGTGTGCCTTTAGCAAGCAAGCAAGTAACATCTGCTACCCCCCTTTACCTAAGGGATCCTCCAATGCACGGAAATCAGAATGCAGAGCTTTAGCTGCAAAGGCTCGGATGTCCATCCACACCGAAGCATACCATGTGCAAGCGCTTGAATCTCCTCAGGACACGTGCCCGAAAGGCGAGAGATCCGTGAAGAAAAAGGATCGCTCGTAGGGCATGCCATGGCCGATGGCTAACATCAAAGAGGAACCTTGTGGTAGAGCGGTGCCTGCACAAGGCACCCAGTTGCAACCAATTCCGTGAAAGAGGCACAGACCAAGGACCTTTGTTTCGTCCAACTTCCAGTACTGGGCATAGTGGAGGTGGTGGGTGTCCGGTTCCTCCCAAGCGCATGACACCTGCGAGGGCGGTGTAGCTTCACACGCCTTATTGGAGGCATCTTGCCGCAATGAAATGCCGTGTCAGGGACTGCAAGTGCTTTCGCTCTTGATCCAACCCCGCCGCTACCAACTGCTCGGCATAGCCCTGCACACCGTAGCTGCTGCCATGTGCCTCCAGCAGATATACATGGTCAAAACAGTGGAACACTTGCAGCTGGAAGCTTTTTGCCAACAAACCTGCTGCCACAATCCCGTCAATCTCACAACGAAGCCAACGTCTCCCGGTGCGCACCGGTAGTCCTCGCACCGCTAACACCATGTCGCAGCGAATCATGCGGTACTCCGCTTAGACGCTTAATTGCGAACGTCCTCGTAGTTGGGCATGAAAAGGAAGCGCGGATCCGAGGCCATGCGGTTGCACATGAGCTGGTAGCGAGGCTCGAACAAATTGAGACCTGCAGTGCCGAGACCATGCACATCGTCAATTGCCGTCATGTCAACACGGTAGCTGTGTTTTCAAGCGACCTATTGTGTCACCAATATTGCTCAACAGCAGATCGTTGAAATAGAACACCGGCAGCACGTCTGGCTCCATGGCTGGGAGATGCTGTCGAAACCAGAATTTTTGTGCACAACCTGAAAGTCTACGTTTCACCAAGACGTGCGGCCGCAGCTCAAACTTGCGACTCATTTGCCGACTACAGGTGCAAATCCTAAACTGTAAAGCGTGAGTACCACATGAAAGGCAGCATGGTGCGGAAATTGAGTGTTTTCTTGGGGCTGAAAAAGTATGTTGTGAACCGTTGGTAAGCAGAGGCTGCTTGTAAGAGCTCTTGAGCTTCTCGCTAGCACATGCACGGGCAGACGATGGCAGATGGCTTTGCCGCTTTCGACCTGCGACTGCAGTGCCCTTGAGAGCGAGAGCAGACGCTGCTGGCTGAAGACTGCTAACCCAAGCCTCTCAACCTCTACTTGCGAATAGGGGCATGGGAACTCCGTGGAGACAAAGCAATGTGGTTGTATCAGTCGTGAGCACGAACAGGTCAAGTTGCCACCGATCTAGCTGTGATCAATCCAGGTCTTCTCTAACTGTCAAGGAATCACGATCGTGATTGTGTTGCCAGGCATGCGGTGATGGCCAAATCAGCCGATTGCAACGAGTTGCTTCGGCGGATTCACGTCCTTTCGATGAGAAGAGCCTTTGACAACCATGGAGCTTGGCAAGAACAGATCCGTCAACAGTAGTTTGACAGGTCGAGTGCGCATTACTTACCTGCCCATCTTTACCTAATTCGGCAATGGCAAAGCCGTCTCATCCCTATCTAAAAAACAGAGCTGGCATCATCACAGACATCCCATCACATCCAACATCCGATCGTAGCAGCAACTCAGCAAAGGAGAGAGTGGGCGTTGGGAGAGGAGTGGGGGAAGCAGGGTTTTGGTTTTGGTTGAGAAACTTGAATCAATTCATGTGGATTTCGGCCGGCACCCAGTCCCACTGCTGACGCGCTTAGACTAGCTTTCGTGATATGCAAGCACACAACAAACATAATTCCAGGGATTCCAAACAGCATTTCTTAATTCTTGAAGCCATGTCACTAGTGAAGACTCTGATTCTCTACACTCAACTGCCGCAAAGCGCGGTTGATCTGTCGCTATACTATTCACTTTTCGACGCTGGTGATCCTCTTCGTGGCTACTTCCGACTTTGTTCAAATTTCAATGATCCCAAAACGACGATACATGTAGAAATTGTAGAATCGAAGCGCGAGACTCACGATCACAACCAGATACCACGAGACACGCTTCAGAGCGGCCTGGACTAAAGAAGCGCAGCAAAAGGAAGACCGAAGTTTTTCGACTTGCAGCATCAATTCGGAATGGACACCCAGTTTCCGTGGCTGTCCAACACGCTCTTGTGACCTCAGTGGGATGCAGCATGCACGGAATTTGGGCTGCATGGGGCGCCCCAAAACCGTCGTGTGCCAAGCAGCGGATCGATCTCGAGAACGTTCCTGTTGGGGGGAGCAAACGAGAGCGGGTGCACTGGGCCGATGCGCGACAGAAGGGACATGGCCTTGCGACAGCTGAAACCGAGATGGTGTGTCATTGGTTCTGGACTCTGTATTTCGGACTTGGCACTCTCCGTTCAAGTCCGGTGGCGCACTTTGCAATGAGAGATCTAGAATGTAGAGTCGCCATCGGTCAGAATGCCAACAGGTGCCTATTGGGAGTTGAGACCTGAAGAGCATGTTGTATTGTGGCACTGCTGAATTGCGGCTAGAGCGGGATAGAGCGGGTGTGCCGGAGAGCATGTGGCTGGTCGTTGCTGGTTTGATGCGGATGTGGAGAGGCGTAATCCGTCTCATCGACGCTCTCAGCCCAACGACAGGAAGGGCAAGGACCTTATGCATGCTGCTTCCGGTGCCCACCTCCACCGAGGCCATGTGAGTAGCACCTTTGCTGCCGAGAACACACACAGAGATGCAAAATCAAACAATCAAACAACCAAGCAAGCAAACAAAGAAACAAACACTCACACACACACACACAGAAAGACATACATACGTGCATGTGTGCATACATACATACATGCATACATGCAGGCATGCAGGTATATATACATACTTTTTTATGTATATATGTGCATAGTGTACATATATATGTATATAAATAAATATAAATACATACATCTATACATGTCTATACATATTGATGTGTATATATATATATACATATATGTATGTCTGTATGTCTGTATGTCTGTATGTCTGTATGTCTGTATGTCTGTATGTCTGTATGTATGTATGTATGTATGTATGTATGTATATACACACAAGTTTACATGACCTGACCATCATGCTGGCATGGGGCCACTTGTGCTCCATCAACTCGTTTGGTTGGATACGCTGGCCCTTAGTAGCGCGACGAAGTAGAAGCGCTGCGACAAACGCGAAGCCAAGCCGATGCAGCTTTTCTATAGCTGAGAGTTGTGCAGGATGAGGCATTAATGCCCACTGCAGGGCGTCTCTCGCGGACCAACTCGTGAACCAGTCGACCTGAGCCGCCAGGTGGGAGGTGCAATTCGAATTCGGCAAAACCAGCATCGTGTGGCGAAGCCCACACCCGTCATGGGTTAGATGCACACCCGCAGTAACGAGATGGGGACGGGCTGGATGTGCAAGAGGGCTCGCATCAAACATCGAATGTTATCGGCCACTAGACATCTCAAGACGGTCGTGTAGGAGAAGAAACGGTAAAATCTTCAGCACGGTGTTCTGGGGTCCATTGCCAAGGCATAACGATCCTTCCCACCTTTGCATTCGCGCCGCGTGGTCAACAGGGGCCCCGTCGCATCCGACGAGAAAACAAGAGGCAAAGAACACGCTCTGAACATCGCAAACTGAAACACTTGATTGACTTGATGCCTCCAGACCCAGCGCGATCACTTCAGTTCTACATTCTACAGGGTTCCACACATGACATAAATCACCGTCCAAAAGGCAGGTGTGGAAGCTCATGCCGTCAGGCTTGTTCGACTTCGAGAATTTGGTTCTACGATGTTCTACGTTTTTGCCTCTGCACGCGGTTGCCACTCTTCGCTGCGCCCACCTCTGTTCCGTTCTGCAGCCCCCCAGAGGGCAAATCCAATGACAGCAGCAGCCAGTCAGGCCAATGAGGCTCTGACATCAAAAACACCGGTGTGGTGGTCACGTGTTCCTTGCAGGTCACATTCGCAGCCGAAGGTGTCAATATCTGCAATGCAATTTCAACCTTGCGAGTTCCCACTGACATAGAGTGCCCTGCTCAAGGCGCTGCCTTCCTTCATGAAAGGATGCGCACCTGAAGGCTGCCAAACCAGTCAAAACGAGGTTTAAGAAGGGCCGGCGAAACCAGGGCCGAGGGCCTTTGCACAACATCATATAGATGCAGATTCCCAACGCCCACATGTCGGCAGGGAATGAATAGCCCCGACCTGCGCAGCGGGTGCTCTACGAATGACACATATAATTGGAGAACAATGCCAGGTTTAGAGCATTCCCCCCGCTCTTTTCTGGCCTCGTGGCAGCTGATGTATCTCAGGAGAAAAGAAAATCGGAGTGCCCTTGATGTCAGTGAGGTCCTGTTGTGAGTCACGTGTGCAGCTCAGCTGGGGCAGTTTTCGTGCAGTGCCGATTCGATCGGGATCGATTTGCCAAAATTGCAGACTGTTCAAATGCAGCGCACTCCACTCATTGATTCAGAAGTTTGCGGGATGGCATCTCGGTGGTGCCACTGTTCTGTATCCTGTCCTTGCGAACGTCTATGACAGACAGACCAGGCATAAGATACATCTCTTTATGCTTGGCAGTCTGAACTCCGAAGGTGAAGCACTTCTGAAGCAGCCGGATGAAACAGTTCGTATCATAGAATATGATAGGCATTGTCGCATTTCCGCATGCTTCGCCAAGCGAAGTCCATGCACCATTCTCACTGAGCAGCCTCATACCCTAAAGCTGTCATGTCCATTTTCCTCTTGTGCCCCTTCAGGCTAGCTGACCCGCTCAACGATGCCAGCATTTCGCGAAAGCACGTAACATGGAGGATTGCAAGAAGCCCTTCGAAGCGTCGGTTTTCATGACATGCTCGAAGCACCGAGGCCTGCACAAAGACGTGCCTCTATGCTACGTCTAAGAACAAACCACGATGTCAGCTACGCCCCGTCGTCAGCGGGTGGCCAAGACACAAGAAAAATTATCTGTCTGGCCTGCACAGCATCATCCGCCAAGCAAGCGCAGCCGAAGTCGGTCAGCTTTACAACCTGCATGCGCAGTATGACAGCTCCTGAGGAAAGCTCGCTGTCGGTTGTTGAGTTTCGGCGCGAACGCAGGAAATTTGTCGAGGTTCCTGTCTCGAACTAGCCGCGCTTTTGTCTGGCTTTGAAGTGCAAGGCAGCAAGGCAAGCAGCTACAGCTTTTACACAGGGGCGTGGATGGGACGGCGGTCGGTGGCCAGGGTTTACTCTGGGCATTGGAGCTCCGAAGTAAGTCAGTGCAGTCACTGGGTTCCGCTGCGGTGCTTCGAAGCTGCCTGGGGTCTCTGTGTCCTGAGGTGTGTGAGCCCTTCGACGACAGCAGTCTGTTCGAGGTCGGGGCTTCAAACTCAGCTGTGAGTGGTCCATTCAGTTCGAGCTTGTCACTGGTCCGATGTCTGAGCAAGAGCCGTTAACACGACCCTCACGCCCTCGTCGATCCAATGCTCTCAGTGCCTCGTCCTCTGCGAACACCAGATTCGACGGCCTTACAAGGACTTCTTTCATTCCGGGCTTGACAACTCGTGCCATGCTTCTAGGCTAGACCCGTCGCAACTTGAAGTTTCAACAGTCCGAGGACTGTGGGTGACCTCTGCCCTCTGCCCTGTATGGTCCTGGATTGCCAGCTAAAGCAGTCTGTGCTGTTCCACTTTTTCTGCGACTGCTCACCGCATGACAGGGGTTCCCTGCGGCTGGCGGCCTCTTGCTCTTGCCGAATCCTACTGTCTGACTTAGCTTGTCGACAAGGTGACGATGCCATGCAGCTTCCAGATATGAACTCTCGCAGTCGCTTCGGCTGCCGATTGCAAGAGCTTCGTGCATGGTCTGTGTCGGTGGGTTGCCATGGATCTGTTTAGCCTCCCGCCCAGGTACGTTTTCAATGCGTTCGTGTCTAGTCGGAGTCTGTCACTCGTCAAATAGTCAAAGGAAAGCGTGGCCTGGGAGCCCGGCTTTACGTCTCGATGGACAATTTGCAGGTCTCTCAGGAACTGCAAAGCCTGGACTTCGCGGACACTCTGACTCTGGCGGAGGTCCCGGTTGGATTTCGGATGCGCTGCCACAGAGCGGTTCACACGAGCAGGTTGAACAAAATCTGCTCGAGCACACTCTCTCCACCTCTTTGTTGTTTCTTCATTGCCAGCCGAAATGCCCCTGCAATCTGGTAGGAGATCTTGGCTGTCAAGGTCTCGCCGCCTGGAATCTAAGCAAGCAGGACGTGACACTAGCGAATGCGCCAAGTGTGTGTTTTGGGGTGCGTGCGGAAGACACTCACACCTACCACGGCCTACTACCCTGCGCCCGATCAGCACCCCAACCTTCTTTGAACCTCTTGGACAGGATGACATTGCTGAGATTGCCCTTCGAGCAATACCTCGTCAAGGATCCGCCCAATGTCAATGACTATCTCTCCAATTGTGATGCAGTGGTCTCGCGGCTGGGCCGCGGAGACACACGCATTCAGAAAGTCATCAGCTCCGGACTCGAGAACCAAGTGGATGACGCTGATCTCCTACGGCCGGCACATTTCAATAGCATTCTGTACTAGACGTTCAGAAGGAATACCAGAGGATTTTTGGAGAGGCCACGGCGAGCTCTCGCTTGCCCCCTCCCTCCCACCAACCGCCCCACCGTGGCATCTCCCTCACCGCCCTCACCACCAAAAGGGAGAATCATAGAGGCGCCGGCATAGGCTTGGATAGCAATGCAATGATGGAGACATTGTAGCTTTCTCGCCATGTCCTCGTGGATCTGACGAAAGTCAGCAGTGTTCCAGCATTGACGCAGGACACCACAGATTCTTGGTGGTGGTGGTGGTGTCGCTGATCTTTGACGCCATACTTACGGCCGAATGCATTCAACGAGCCGGCTGCAGGAAAAAAGCGTTGCGCGGTCCTCGAAGCACTCGTAATACTCGACGATGTTCGGGTGCTTCCCGGAGACCATCTGAGGCGTGATCTCACGATGCAACAATTCAACGAGGGCATGCGCTTGCCTCCAGCAGCTCGATTTCCTGTACAACCTCGCCATGTCGCTGGGCAAAGCTGTTGCAAGGTACGAGTATCAAGCTCTCCATGCCCAGCAGCAGATAACTGCTGCCCTTTACAGGATGCGTGCTGCCTTGCCTCCCTGCGTAACCGCCGCCCATCCACGATACATCTCAGTGACTTAGTGCCTGGCAGCAGGCCGTGTCCACCACGTCTCCTTCACGATACTCTTCACCTGCTCCCAGACAAGGTCGCACACGTTCCACCCGCGCCATGTTCCAGAAGTCGCTTGGAGGCTGAGCATCGGCACGCATCGATCGGCTCGGCTACTCAACTCCACACACCTGAAGTATGAAGAGTCGGTCGTCATGCAGGATCATGCGCAGGATTCTCTTGGCATCCAAGTTAGACCCAGATAGGAAGCCCTAGCGTCGTTGCAGCAATAATTGCAACCCCTCTGATCTTTGCAGGGCGAGTGTCATTTGTACCCGAAGATCTACTGTAGCCCCATGTCGACCGAGTCCGCACAGGAAATCTCCAAACCAGGCGACCTGACCTTCGGTTCCTAGGGTTCGCACGGGCGAACTTGGCCAAAAGCTCCGGAGCCAACGCAGTCATCCTCTCAGGACTCGCTGTTTCTTCCATGCATCTTCACTCTTCCATTCAGATCCATTCAGCTTTCCCGCTCGTGACTATGAGGCGCGACATGGCCTTGCCACGTGCAATGTAGCTGATGTCATACCTCCACCTTAGGGAGCTCGAGACTTCTCACCTGCTCTCGAACGATCTGTCAGCACATCTCAACCTCTGAGCAGCTGCTTACGTGTCGGAGATTGTCGGAGTTTCTGGGAGGAAGGCTCAATGAGGCTGTACGGCTTGAGGGGCACCAGGTGGCACAGGGCAGCCCCCATGCTTTGTTTCCAAGCTAGTCGGTGGAATTGAACGTGGTATGTCCGATGCCTAGCATACAGGACCGTTGAATTGTTGAAGTTGCGGTACAATGTGCCAGTCAATCTCACTGCAAGCCAAGACTTTGGGCTCCACCGACGGCGCCTTTGCCAAAGCTTAATGCAGTTCCCCATGCGTGGCACTCAGAGCTTGCCTGGCCTAGCATCTTGCACCACTGCTTTCCAACACTGCTCCCTTTGTAGCTGGTTGTGGCACTCTCCCATCTCCGCGAGCCGTGAAAACACATAGCAGCCTTTCTTTTGCTGCTGCGCTTGCAGCAGTTATTCGGCACCTCCTCCTCACCAAATCAAGTGAATCTGCTCATGGGAGCGTTTCTGGCCAGAGCTCTGAGGCCACAAACCTGTCGCAAGGTGCAGACTGTGCAGAGGGCAGGGGATGGCAGGGGCCAGATTGTGACCTGCTCTCTATACGAGTCAGCACACTCTACCACCATCTGCCTGGCTCTGCCTGAACTCAGAAGCGCCAGCGCCGTGGCTCCTCGGCCACGGAGCACAAACTCGCCTGCCAGCTGCAACTTGAGCTTGTCACTGCAAAAAAAGGGGCGTCCAAGTGCGCTACAGTCCCAAAGGCCGGAGGCTCTAAAACTGTCGCCTCCCCTCCCAGAGAGTTCTTGGAGGCAAGCCCTGCCATCCAAAGCCCTTTAACACGACAGCCATGGAATGCCATGGACTTCGACTATCCGCCAAGGCTTGCTTGACCCTCTAGCTGCTGCAGCTGCACCGTACGTGACGTGCATTGCCATAGACATGCCTTACGTTGCACCGGTGACGGCGTGCGCCGGGAAACACGCATCTGCTGCGGGCCGGCAATGCCTCTGCAAAAGAACTACGGCAAAGTTACATGGATTTATGCGGTTTATATTTTCAGCAAATGCAGAACTGATCTTTATCTTGACCTCGAGTCTGATTTAGCTTAAAACCAAAGTTGCATTGCGGGGGGTTGGAGTTCAGGTTGGAGGCTTGCAGATGCGTGGATAGGATCACGAAGGTTCGGCAGCTTCGCGAACAGGCCCATGTTGGATGCATTTGCAGTGTTCCTGCAACGGCCGAGCAATTTACTGTAGGATCGAACGAACAACTTTTTCAACTTGATACACAGACTGCATAAGTTTCGCTTAGAGTTCCGCAACGACCTTCGCTTGTCTCACGATCTATCATTCACATGCCTTAGACTACTTGAATGGGATGCCTGCCAGTAACCAGACTACGTAACGTCTAAAGCGATAGGACTTGGCCTGCACTTCGTCGCTGCACTGCTAGGCTCTCGTCCGCCAGCCTGCAATTCTCAAGCTGCCATGCTCTTCAACACGATACTCGACCTTCCTCAACATCACCACTAGACTTGCTGCTTACCGAAACTTTTGCAATCCACCCCTCGCAAGTCTTGAGCGGCTTGTTGACTGTGCCTGGAGAGGCAGCCAGAGAGACGTCCTGCCTTGCATGGAAATTGTGGGGCCAGGCAAGCAAATGAAAGCATCGCTGGGTGCAGCTCCGAGGCAGGTCCGGCTGTCCGTGCGCTGCCTGCGACGAAGGCGGGGGCCCCGCCTTTCTTGTGGGCCCTTCCGAGCTTAGGCTAGCGACCCAGCCTGGCCCAGCACCGGGACTGCCAGCGCGCGCCGCGTCCTGTGAGCGGAGGCAGCCGAGGCAAAGCAGCGCAAAAACACGCTTCGTTTCGAGGCATCGAGTGCAGGCCGATCGCTGCAAGAGATGCCTTTGCAGGCGTCGATGCAGACTGACTGCTCGTCCTGACTGACAGAACACGTCTCTAACATGGGAGAGCAGGAGAGCAAGCTGTTTTCAGACTGAGATTCTTTTGCCCTTATCGGATGTGCACACCCCGACTAGTCTCTTGGCTCCAGGCGGATTGGAGCGGCTCTCCTGGCTGGGTGCACGCGAGCACAAGCTTAGCCTGACTTCGCGTTGACCAAAACCTTTAGAGAATGCTCAGCAACACGATACAAACAGAAACATGATTGCGGGAGACACCAGCTACAGGTCTTCCTGCCAAGCCCGAGCCAAGAGGTGTCGTTTTTGGATGTTTTTGGTCAGTTTGCATTCGCCTTTCTCCTCACGTGCTGCACCGAGCGATCTGTTCGGTTTTGCGCGAAGGGCTTATGACGGCCTCAGTCCAGTTCCGGCACCATTGGGGAAGGGTCCAGTATCGCAGTGGTCACCATGTTGGCTTTTTTGGCGCCTACTTCGCGCAGTGGTCACCATGGTTTGAGCTTCTCAGCGCTCGTGGCTTCGCTTCGGCAATGATCTGTCCAGCAGACTCGGCACTAGTGGCACTGTGTTGGAGTGTTGATCTTTCTGCGTCTCTCCTGGCTTTGCCCACACAGCTGGTGGGCGGAGCGCGAAATTGCTAGTGAAGCTGCAAGCTGCTCTCAGGTGATCGCCGTGACCGTCTGCTTTTCCAGTCCCAGAACGGTCCCCCGAGAGGCGGATCTAGCAGCATGAATATGTCGTACAGCCACTATACAGCCATATATACGTCACGCTTGGCGTACTGGCTGTCAGATGTGCTCTCCTGGGATGGAGGGCGCGGGGCCCGAGCTGGCGAAGAAGCCGAGGCCAGAGGACACCTCGGCTCTGAAGCCATGGGCCATGGCTCGAGGCCTTCTTCACACTCTGAGTCCATCACGGCCTTCTTTCGCTGAGGCGTTCTGGCAGCGGAGAGTCTGACAAGTCCGAGCACCTCATCACACCCAACCTGCAGCTGCTGTTGCGGCAGGAGGATGGTGCCTCTCCAAGCGTTCATGGGTCTTGTCTTCGTCATCAGGGAACTGTTTCAGCAGATTGGCAGAAAGCCATCCAAGTCTTCCAGCCCCTTTGCAGTCCTCACCTCATCTGGGCACATGTCCCTGCAGCTGCCACGCAATCCTCTCCCAAACCAGACCGGTGAGAGTGCGAGGTATCTTGAGAATGAACGAATATCGGAAGGCTCCTCCACAGGAAGGTCCAAGACTTCGCCACTCCTGCCAGGCGCAGGCCCAAGGAGGAAGCAATTTCAGAACGCACTCAACGCTCTACGCAATTCTGTGAACTTTACCGGATCTCCTGCCGGGCTGCAGGTCGCATTGAAACTTGTGGATTACTTTTTGCATACCAGGCCTTGCAAGAGGCTCGCAGAAACCATCAAGCACAAGTGCACCCGTATGCACCCACTGCAGACGCAGCGAGGCCATGACATGATCGTCGCAAGTTCATCAGTGTAGCCTGAAGAAAGGATGAGGTTGTAGCTTCACCGCTTCCGAACATGCTGGTACCACCACTCCGAGATAGACGGATCTGCAGGAAGACATGCGCAATGCGCGCGCGCGTGTGTGTGTGTGTGTGTCTGCATCCTTTATCCTCCGCACACCGACACACAACCAAAACGGCAAACCAGTATGGCGGATTTCGCAGCTCAGGAAGCGTGTGTGTGCTTCTGTAACATGTCCGCAGAGTGTCGCACTCCTGGAGGCAACACGCAAAGTGGAAAGCAAGGGTCTTTTAATTATGATGTCTGAATCTCTTCGAGTTGAAGCTTCAGCCGTTGAACCGTGCAAGCTGGCACCTCTGAACGCTCTGCATTCGCAGGATTTCGCTGGCTTATACGGCCCTGGCGTGACAGCATGGCGCGGCTGTGCTCGAGGTCTCTGCGCAGGCGAAGATTTTCCTGTCAGCTGGATGAATCTTTTCCTTTGCCGCCAAAGCTAGTCAGTCCTGCCTCCTTCAGCTGAGGCTCGGCCTTGAACGAATTACACAGGACCGTCAAGAAACACTTGGCAGGCGCTAGGAAGGGACAGAAATTTGGTTGGTGCTCGTAGCCTTGCGGCTTCGCTCTGGCTTCAGATGTTCACGCATGACACCCGCTACAAGAGCCTTGATGGGATCACTGTTCAGCTGTCGCCGCCATGCCCAGTCTGAATGGTAAAGTTACACAGCAGCGAGTACTTTGGTCCCGGCCATATGTCCATCCCTCAGCAGTTGAACCTGAAGACGAGAAGTCGATCTAAGAGAGGGCAAGTTGCTTGAGGTAACTGTCCAACCGGCGAAAAGGCCGGCCTGCTGCCGGAGCACTTCGATTTGCTGCGATTGAGCCTGCATCTCTGTCGCCAACAGTCCAATGAAGGAGCTGGCCTGACAACTGACTGGCCAGCGCATATGCCTCCAGCTCCGTGTGGAGTGTCCGGTTCTCCTGAGTTGACATCATGCAAAAAGCACAAAGACAGCTCCAAGATGATTTCTATGATGCCTATGATCGCAACCTACTATTTTAGTGTACCAGCCTGATATGCACGCTGATCTCTCCTGGACGACGCGAGGGCCCGTCCCGCGGCTTTGCTCCAGCCTGTCACTCTGGATATGACATGACCAGATGGAATCCAATGTGTTGCACCTCTCTTCGAAGATTCAACATCCTGCAAGCTTTGTATTGTAACACGACTTCAGGAACCCTGTCAACGGAGTAGGTCGAGCGTGTGAAGATGGGTCAAGAGTGCATTGTCCAAGGAGCTCAAGAACTCATCCGTTCATCGACGCCTTCGTCGGTTCAGTTAACGGAAAGCACGTCTCACCGAACGGTGTACTCACACCATGATGTGAACTGAGATGGATTAGGTCCCTCAAGTGCGAGGCGGCCTCGGTGGGCACGGCGGTTCCGCATGTCCCACATTGTCCCACCATGCACATCTTCGATTCATATCGCGCTCTTTCCGGTCCCCCGCCGCGTCCGCCGGGCTACCTTTTCTGCACCTCTAGAGTTCTGGGCTTTGAAATCTTACAATTTTGGCAATCGTGCTCCCACCACAGTGCCACTTTTAACGTTTCTTTTGAGGGCGACTCGCAGTCCGCCACAGTCGAGGCCCGAAATCGCGCTCCCACCATGGCGCTGTGCACATGGTTGGTACGACTCGTGTCCAGTCCCGTCCCCTTCAGCCGTTGCCTGAGCCCCTTCAAGTGCTTCAAGACTGCAGCTGGAGGAAAACCACGGGTCGCTGCGTGTGCTTTAAATGATTGCTGATGACATGGCGCAGAATTCACCACTTGTGTAGCAACTTGGCAATGGAAGGCTTCATAAGCGTCGCCTAGTCGTGGGAAACGTCCTCGATCCCAAGATGACGACTGGACAATGCTGTTCCGCTAAGTGCTTTCATGTGCTTTCGAGCACTTGGATCACTTGAGCACCATCGAGCACCTGAATATGGTAAACAAGACCCAGG